CATCTCCAGAAGTAGAAGGCAGACATGTTTAATTCTGTTGTTGAACTTGAGTTAAAGAGTGCGCTTTATAACAAGAGTGTCTGAGACAGTTGATAATCCCAGCAGATAAATTGTTCATTCATACAGTAAACAGTGATTTCTAATAAAAATATAGTTATAAATCTTATAATACCTAATAATGTTTTGTGACATTAATAAGTTACAATAAGTAAGAAAAAACAAACAAATAGAAAGTCACATTTATATTTCAAATACTTTCTTTACTGTATGATGAACCATTCAGCATTCAAATTGAATTATTTTAATTTTTTAAATATTTGGACGAGCTGAAAACACAGTTCTATAGGAGTTTTAGGTTTACAGTAACAATCACTAATCATGTGATCAAATCCCTCCTGACCCCTGTGAACAATAAATCTGTTCTCCCGGCCTCGCAGTGACAAAGACAGCCTGTTATCTTCTTTCATCAGGTCTCACTTTCTGCACCTTCCGCTCCAGTTTTCGCTGTCGTATCTCCTCATCGGCTTTGTTCTCCAGAACACCAGAGGTAGTCTCACTGAGAGTGGATCATTAACTAGGGACACATCAGATAAAGGCAACTTCCTTTGAGAGACTGTAAACATTCACGTCCCCACCCCGAGAACACTTCTGTCATTGATCTGAAGAATTTACGCAGGCCGAAATCTGAGTGTTTGCCCACTGAGACGGAGAGGAATGTGAAGTGATATTGAAACAGTGACAGGGATTACGTAAGACATTCCTGACACACGCATGTGTAGCAGCATGGCTCTAAACAAGTATGATAAACAACATTTCAGAATCTTGTGCAGCCATAGAAGAACAAGTACAAATATGTTGGTTTCAGAAGTAACAATAATACTTGTGATTGGCAGCTGGGCTGTCCAGTAAGAGCCTGGTACAGTACAGTAGTACAAATAGTTTAAGAAACATAGAAACAAATTAGCAAAGCAATACAAAAATAGCTTAAAATTTGCTTTTAATTTGCTTTTGCTTTTAGAATTTTTGTTAAAATAGAGACGTCGGTGATGCAGCTGCACCATATTAGCTAAATGATAGCCTTAGACCACCTGACCTGCAACTGCATAGTTTGACATTAACAACTAAAAAGACAATATTACTCAGAAAATGATTAAAAGTTAGGGAGGGAATTGATGGCTAAATTTTAGACCCAAAGATAATTTTGGACATAACAAAATTAGGTGATAAAACTGTGAACTGTGGCCTTAAAGGGTATTTTTTACAAGGATCTGTTCTCACAGTGACCAAAGTTCTGTGGATGGACTTGTTATTACATGTCTCCTCATGGATCCATTCATTTATTCTATGTCTTCCTGCTGGACTTTTTGCATACGTAAGTGCTGACGGAAATATGTTTATCCTGTGCATGTGCCGGGTGCGTACGAGTCCTTGTAGTCATTGTGACACCAGGAACACATTGTGCTGCTCTGCACAACAGGTTGAACCAAGGAGTGCTCAGCCTGGGAAAGAAGGCAGAGCAGAGAGAGGCAGCCAGTTGGACTGGTGGAGTCAGCTCAAAGGAGAGAAGAAAAAAAAAAAAAGGAAAAGAGCGGCTAATGCACTGTATCTGTAGAGACAGTCATGACACACATATGAACAGCTGCTCACGCACTCCTCAGACCACACTCCACCGTAAACAAATGTGGAGGTTACAGCTCACCCAGCTCACGGCTGTTGTTGTAGAAGTTGGCACCACGTAGGTAGTTGTTGCATCCAGGAGGTATGGGTGGAGCTAGCCGACTGGAATTGGCTGCTGTGATAAGAATCAATTTCAAGTGCTTAATTTGAAGATGGCATTTTTTCTGGCAGATTTTTGTTGAAGTTGAAGTTGATAAATCAGCCTAAACTCAGCAGTCACTCGTTTTACAATGAAACTGTCAGGAATGCAATGAAAGGAATTTTAAAACTTTGTGGTTATTTACTTCATATTTGTTGTACTTTCTTAGAAATGCCATTACAACACGGGCACAAAAGTTGGCACAACACACTCACACACCCTCTGACTGCTGTTACTAACCAGCTGCAAATAACACACCGTTGCACGATGAATCCTTTTGAGTCACCTGTTGCAATGCTTTCATATGGCATCATGTTACAGTTTCCATTGGTGGGAGGAAAAGAAATACCACCACAAATGATCCCACGCCTCACCTTTCCTGCTCAGACGTTTAGGAGAATGCTATAGCATGTGCTATTCTCCACTTATCATTACAACACAAATGTATGCACTTTGTTCAAAACAGTTTTTTTCAACCCCTTGCTAACCCTCACCGCCACTAAGACACATTTACAGTTTTAAAAACTTTATTGAAATCTAATTTAATAACAGTTTTTCTCATAGTACTGTTATTCTGAAGAGAAAAAGTAAACAAAAGAAGAAAAATCAATTCAGTGAAATTTGCCTACGATGGGACGAATACACAGCTCTTTGATTTGCCATTATATAATAAAATAATCTTAATAATGAGATACTATCTTATTTAAATTAGATACTAAGTCATAATAACGAGATACTGTTTGAAAAATCATTAGATTTTGCCTTAGTTATGTGTAATTATATTTTTTGTAGTAAGTTGCGTCAGTGGAGCGTGTTTCCTCTTTGACCAAAAGAGGGCAGTGTGGCAGTTTAACGAAGTTACACCACTACGTAGAAGAAGAAAGTAGCTGCGGTTGTGAGCCGAAGAAGAAGAGCCGCAGTACTGTCATGTAAGCACAGCGTGATGACCAAGGTTAACCATCTTCATCTACTGAACTAAACTATGAACATTTTGTGACAGAAACGGAGCGTCTTCTAATTCCAGTAAGAACAAAGTCCAAATACTCGTTGTTTTCTTTTTCCCCAGAACGTGTTTGTTTGTAAAACGGTGAAACGCCGGTACTGAGCTGTTAGCAGCTTTGAACAGTGGGGAGATAAGTCAAGCAGAGGATGTTTTCACCCCGAACCGTTTAAGTTAGTGCAGCAGTGTTCGAAAACGACTCAATTTGTGATGGTGTCATGTCTACAGTTTTAATTTATCTCACATCTGAATGATGACAAATGATGGGCGTTGGGTAGCTTACACCGTGGGACCCCAAAGGTACACGAGAGTGCTGCTTCTTTACTACAGCTTGAGCTCATGCCAACAAATAAATTCCACCACTTTAGTCACAAAATATACGATGGAAACCCATAACAATAAGAGTTAACGCAGTGTACTACGGCCAGTTTACTTGGCTACACAAACACCAGTTTCCGTCGGAAATAAAGCTAAAATAGACATATACACACATATAAATATATACATATTTGAAGAGCTGCTTCTTATACTGTATATATAAATTGTTGGACTAAGAAAGTTAGTTTCTCACATTAGATTAGTGTCGACGAAGAAAACATCGAAGCAAAATATTTGTTTTTATTTTCTATCTTTACAATACCATACCATTGACAAAACATGTTGTAAACATGTGGGACTATTTTGAAGTGGTGTATGGTTTGTTTGATGGTTTTATATTTGAATACGGGATATTAAAAGTTAATGTTAGATTTCCCTTCTTCTCTATTCATTTTTCTGTCTATAGATCGTGATGAGTGCCCCGTCTTTTTTGGCCTTCGCTGTCCGGAACCTCACCCGACTGTGTCCCGGTGGCCGTCTGCACTGCAGTGGGCTGATGGCCCCTAGTTCCACCACAAGGTAAACTTCCACTAATCAATCTCACAGTATACAGTATATGTTCTACGGAAAGGATTTCTGACACATGTATTTGGAATTTAAAAGTTTGTTCTAATTGTGTCGAGAAATGCTTGTTTATTAGGTCAAGTCAGCAGTAAAAGCTCGGCTTTTTCTGAGAGACAGAAAAAACATGTATTTCCAAAACGTGGGTAAAACAAAGAGTTAGTACATTCAAAAGAGATTAAAAACCTGCTGTGTTCTTTGCAGAAGAAATATGTCTTCCAAAAGAAAAATGGACCATTTGGACAGGACAGCGAGCAACTCCAGACAAAATGTAAGTTCAACTTTTGTAATAAATGTGTTTGTTTTTAATTTAATTCTCCACTTCATCGCTGCTTACAGCAGTTGTTGACGAGCCATCCTCAGAAAAATTAACCTTTTCAGAAACTCCAAACAGGCCGTGTATCCAGGGAGAATATGTGGAATCGTAAACGAGTCGGAGATGGTAAAACGCCTGAGGATCGCTGTCCATCCGAGCTTCAGCTTCAAGGCAGGACAGTGGTGAGTTTTTATGGACCTGTATAACACTTTCTGACAAGTTTAGGGGCTAGCTGCTTTACAAACAGCAACAAGTTAAAATGAGAATTTTACAGTGTTTACATTTGTTGCATGGAGGGGAAAAATATATCATTTATTTTAAATTTGTACTATTTAAAATTCTGTACTTCTGTCATGGGACAGGCAGCAGGAGAGGAATTATTATTTTTAATACGTATGAGCAGACAAAAGGAAATTACACTAAGTAACCACAGGGTGGCAGTATAGTGCTTTACTCTTGTGTCATGCAGAACCTAATTAAATAATCTTCACAGTTGGACTGGCACTCACTTTTAATATGATGAAACAGAAAAGTCTATCCCAGAAAATAATCTCATAATATTATCTAGTAATTTTTTATTTTTTTTTGAGGAGCATGAACACCGCCCCTCTTCCCCTGCCTCCCCCCTCCCCTATCTCAAACCTATTCCAAATTTAATCTAATCCTTATGTATAGTTTGTCAATTTCCATGGTTGCTTTTTCTGACACAAAAATCCATTTCTCTCTTTGGTCTAATTTTTTTGTGGCAACTTTGGATTTCTGAAGGCTGTCCCTGAAAACATTACCGTACTTTGTTTTTATCATAACAAGCGTGACACGTATTGAAAGGCTTTGTTTATTTAAAACTGTGCTGCAGCCTAATGGGAAAAAAAACTGAATTTTAATCAGAATATGAGGCTAAGTACTTCACCAAGCAGGAGTCTGAGTTGCTGGTTTTAATTAGTTTGCTGTGAACATGTTAAACTGCACGAGGGTCCATACTGTAGGTGGGCGGTGGTGAGACAAATCTCTCAGCCAGCTGCCCCTCGGCAACCGATAACCAATGTAAGTAGATGGAGATCTCAGCGAGCTCCTGTGTTCCTGAAGAAAAGCGACAGTTCCGTCGTCAGTCTCCAGGTGGGAGAGGGGGAGGTGGTGACGGTAGTGGTGGGCGGAACATATGTGTGCGTCGACTTCACAGCACATCCATATTCATGATGCCTCCGAGGGGTTGCGGTGTTGGTGTGTGTCTCTCTGGTGTAACAGTGGGTCATTGTGTCGGTGGAACATTAGCTCGAACGTTGAGCAATGCTTTTTTTTTTTTTTTTTTTTTCAACCAGTAGGCAACTTTCCACCTGCTTTGGGTTTTTTTGTTCTCCTTGCTTTCTGGAACGACTGACTTCTGAACTGAGGTCAGAGGTCGTCACCCTGTCTTCATTCACACTTTGACCTTTATTTTTTAAATGTTTCAACTCCGTTTGTCCAACCTACGCACCCTAATAGTGATTGGAGCGAGAATTGCTTCATCTGGTAAATCCTTTATACATTAAAAGATAGTGGTTAATCTAGGCAATATTTAGTCCATTAAATTGACAGGTGAGGTGGAAAATAAATATGATGTGTACAATATGAAGGTCAGAGGTTAAAAGGTCTGTTTTGGTCCCAAAAACACTCTTGACTCTGACAAAAAAAACAAATAGTCAAATATAATTTCAAAGTTAAATTCTCAGTCTCTATGTCTGGACTACAATGATAACGATTGTTGAAGTAAAGTCTACCAACCCTGTGTCCAACATCTGCTACAGTGAGTTACTTTGTACCACGGCAGTTCACTGTCGTCATGAGTCAGACACTCAGTCATAACTTTATTCAGTGTGAAACTGACCATCTGCTGATGATGGTGTTTCCTGTTTGCTCCACGCAGGGTGGATTTCTTCATCCCTGGAGTGGAGACAGTGGGAGGTTTCTCCATGTGCTCCTGCCCAGGTTTGCTGCAGAGGGAGGGAGTCATTGAGCTGGCAGTGAAGTCCACCACACACCCACCGGCAAACTGGATCCACACGGCCGTGAGTGGGATTGACGTTAATACGAATAAAATGTACTCGACCAAAACTAATATTAGAAGAAAACTGACGTTAAACTTTAGTGGGTACAGTGTATTAGGTGCTCTTTTTTGTCATAAGTTTAAGTTGTGAGTTCAGTTGAGAGAATTCTCTGGACAGATATCACAAATATGAAGAAGAAATAACATTTCAAAAGTGCCTCAAAATGTGCATATGTGTTAAAAATGAAAAACTAGATTATATTTTAAAATGTCAAATATTGATCGGAAAAGTGTTACTAAAAAAGTTACTATATGACGTTGGCAAAACAAAGCCCAAAAAATCAAGGTGTATCTGATTCCCGGTCGTGCGTTTTTTGGGTTCAATGAAGAAATGAAAAAAAAATGTGAAAAATGATTATTATTAGCTGCAGCTCTGCTGTGTGTGAGTGTTTACTGTACGTGTGATGCAGTTCGGAGTGCGAAGAAGATGGAGACGGTGGAGTGGAGATGAAAGGATCAGTGTGTGTGTGTGTGTGTGTGTTAAAAGTGAGGTGGTGTATGGCTGGAAAATCAGCGCAGCTCCATTATCACACTCCTCTGGTGATTTTTTTTTTCTGTGAAGAATTGAAGTGTCAGGTGATATTTTCAGAAATGGTTCCATTTCCTGCCTCAGTCGGACCACGTACGAATACACAGAAATACATGAAAAGATGTCTTTCATTAAGAGTCAGTGAGTTGTGCGGCTTCATTGATCCTCAGGTGGATGTGTGTCCTTTCATCTGTGTTACCATGAAACCAAGTGAAGTTGGTGAAACTGACACACGTCTTCTCATCACAGTGTGTTAATGGTGGTGAAACCTTTTACTGTGTGTTGTTCATTTTATTGGTCCAGTGATTCTGTGTGTGAATGTGAGTGATGTTTTCTCCTGTCTGCCCTCTGCTGGTCTGAGGGTTTTAAATCTCACAATATGACTGTATTTAGTCTCAAAAACCTTCCATTGACTGTCAGCCTTGTTCTTCTCCCTCAGTGTGCAGTAGGTTCCGAGGTGGACATGCGCGTCGGTGGAGACTTCTTCTTCGACCCGTCACCTTCTGACCCGCCCGTGGATCTGCTGCTGGTGGCCGGCGGCGTGGGGATCAACCCGCTGTACTCCATCCTGCTGCACACTGCAGATCTGCTGCGCCTCCAACAAACCTCCTCTGGTCAGGACTCCAACGTCAGCTCGGTTCACCTGTGCTACAGCGCCAAGAACAGCCAGGAGCTGCTCTTCAAGGTCTGTGTGTGTGTGTGGGCGCGCACTCCCCAGGGTTTCTGGGAGACATGTTGTTGAGTGTTCTAACAGATGTTTGAGTGTCTGACCTCTGTGTGTCCTCAGAGCTCCATCACCGAGGTGTGTCAGCAGTTCCCCGACAAAGTCTCCTGCGACTTCCACGTCACACAAGTGAACACAGATGTGGACCCACAGCTCCAGTCATCCATCAACCGTCAGTAACGCACACACACACACACACACACACACACACACACGTCATCATGTAGAACAGACACCGTCCAACCTTAGTCTTTGTTGATTGTCCCTCCAGGCGGCCGGGTCACAGAGGAGGAGTTGCGGACACATGTTCACCCGGAGAGGACTTTGTGTTACCTGTGCGGACCCCCGCCCATGATCGAAGCCATCTCTAAAACCCTCTTGAACCTGGGTCTCCCTAAAGACAGGATCCTGTTTGAGAAGTGGTGGTAGAGTAAACCACCCAGAACCAAAGCCGGGTTCTCCTCGGAGCTCCTGAGTGGGAGGCAGAGCGGGTGTGTCCTGAAAGGAGAGCAGCTGAAATATTCCAGTGATGCCGACTAATGTGAGTTGTTTTGGTTTTTTTTGAGTGCTTCAGCAGCTAAGGAAGTTCCATCCTCCGGTTCGTGATATGATGTGTGCCTGACCTCTGTGACCTCTGG